GATGGATGGATGGATGGATGAATGGATGGACATGGACGGACGGACAAATGGATGGATGGATGACTGGATAGATGGATGGGTGACTGGATGGTTGGATAGATGGATGGATGGGTAGATGGATGGGTAGGTGGTCACACCTTAATGTATGTGCTTTGTTTCCTCAGGCATGACTTGTCAAGCACGGAGCTCTTATATGGATACAGAGGTACTCTGGGGGCACCGATTTACACCAGTCCTCACCTTAGAAAAGGGCTTCTATGAAGTGGACTACAACACCTTCCATGACACCTATGAGACCAACACTCCTAGCTGTTGTGCCAAGGAGCTGGCAGAAATGAAGCAGGAAGGCCGGCTCCTCCAGTACCTGCCCAGCCCTCCCTTGCTTGGAGGCTGTGCTGAGATGGGGCAGGACGTAGAGCAGGATGTGGAGGTTGAGCAGGATGAAGAGGATAAGGCTGATGGCCTACATGGATCCTGGAAGACCAGGGGCTCAGTGTGAGGACTTGGTTTTCTCTTCAACCTCCCTTCGCTGGCTTCCCTGAGCACAGGTACTGCCGAGCCCAGGAGAGAGGAGGGGACTTAGCTGCGGGTGTGTTTGGAGGCACGGGAGCTGTCCAGGCCTCATGAGGCGTCACCATACATCTAGTCCTCACAGCTCACAACCTATGGCTTCTCATGCAGTTGTCCTCCCATCTGGGCCCTGGGGTGTGCTGCCTCCTCTCCCAGCATGGCTCAGGGCCAGGCTGGGATGGAATTTCCACAGTGAAAGTCACAGGGTGGCATCTGTCTTTGCCTGCCAGCTGACCTCCAGTCAACTCCCTTCCAGGGCCTCACAGTCCTCTCCAAGACTGAAACCTAGCGTGGGCTGCTGACCCTGCCCCTCAAGGCTCTGCCTCATGGATGTGCAGACCTCTGGTGTGAAGACAAGCTCACAGTACCCTGGTAGGTGAGGTGTGCATGTCATGGAGGCCATCCCTTCCAGCTCTGAGGTCAAGCCCCATGAATGAGGAGCTCCAGAGTGCAGGGCCCTGTGCATCTTACTGTCTGCCAACTGCGTGTGTTTCTCCTTTACTGCCTTCTGTGTGTCCACTGTGCCCTCCTGCACAATTGGCCTCATTAGCATGAACCTAGGCCACTGAGCACCTCTGAGGACATGCATGGTGGCCCTTGAAATTACGCCCAATCACACTGTGCCCTTCACCTGCCACCAAGGAAGAACCTCAGCAGCTGGGGTTCTTGGAGGTCTTTTTGGCTTAGGAAGCTCAAAGCACTTCTATTGATGGCTGTTGATGTATTTCACAATCTCAGAGAGCCTGGGATGTGAGCCTGGGATGGGGCAGAGCTCCAGAGGGCCAGAAAAACCAGGTGGCACTGAGGGGCAGAGGGGAAAGGGCAACAGAGAGAATGAAAGGCAAAAATAATTGTAAAATAGCCCACTTGTCACCCAGACACTCTGAACTCAGGCCCCAACACACCTTGGCCTGCAAGGTAAAGAGTTGCGTGTGAAGCAGAGGTGGCAATGGCCACAGGGGCAGCTTCCTGTTCCAGCCCCAGAGTCTCAGGCTGGTGCTCACTCCTGCAGCCCGGCCAGAAGGATGAGTCCATAGCTGCCTCTTCCCACACTGGAAGCAGGAGGCTGAGGCAGTAGGTGGGAAAAGTGGAGAGAGGAACAGATGTCAAGGGAGAAGGTGCAGAGAGGAGCCCTACAGTAGGCAGCTCCTGACTTTTCTCCTCTGAGGATGGAGGTGCAGATTGTCAGACCAGTGGAGCATGTGCCAAGAAGGACAGTTTATGATTAGCTTGTCCACACTTGTCAACAGGGTTTGCTTGTTCCCAGGCACAGAATGCCACAGGACCCTACCGCGGGATTCCTGGCTCCAGACTGGGCTGTGGATTTGGATCACCTTCCCTGGGGTGCACAGGAGAGCAGAAGGGGAACACAGAACACAGGAGCAGCTTGTGCACCTCAGGCCCAGTTCCTCTCTACCTGCACTCCCTAGGTTCTAGGGCTGGTGAGAAGAAAGGACTCTAGTTAGGAGCCCCACCTTGTGGGCTTCTCACTCTCTGGAGGGCGCTTCTTCATTCTTGGCACCTTTTCTGGATCTTGATGAGTGGGCTAGGACAGTGGTGGCCAGGCAAGTGTCCTCCTGTCAGTGTAGGCTGCTGGGTGGGAGTCGCTGACACCCTTATTGGTGAAGCACGTCTTGTGGGGAATGAGGAATGGGCTGTTGTCACCATCAAAAGAAACAGAAGCAGCCAGCGACTAGCTGCATGAGCTACATGCAGTAGGATTCTAGCAGCGGGGCCCTAGCTGAGCCTGGATGCGGTGGTGGAGACGGGCTGCCACTGGAACTCCCCAGGGGTGCCAGCACTCACCTGGGCTCCCCAGAGCCCGGCCTTACACACAGAACTCTTCCCATATCCCCTTGTAAGATCCCTGTTGGATGTGAAGATTCTCCCTCAGAGCCCTCAGGACACAGCCTACACCTGGGTAGCTCAACAGGGTAGGATAGACACAGAGGCAGCTGGCCTCGTGGCTGCTCAGTGGCTTGGCTCCTGATTCACATCTGCCTCCATGTACAGTTCTGAAATTCCCACAGCCAACCAGATGAGTCTCTCTCTGGTTCTCGACTACTTTATCAGTGGCTTCCATAAGGCAGGGCCAAATTGCACCTCTTCACCAGCTCTACAAGTTTCCAAAGCTGTCAAATACTCGGGGATCAATACAGCCCTATCCTAAAGCTCCTGGTAGGTCAGAGTTGATGTCCCTGGAATTGTGAAATAATACATGTGTTCATTCTGTTGCCATCATGGGCATCTAAGTGTAGGAAAGCTGTCCTTCATATCCCAAGGAAAATTTCTTCGAGACATTTTCTGGACTTTCCTGAATAAATGTGGATTATTAAACACCAAGTCTGACAATGGCAGTATTTGTGAATCACTTACACATCATTGCTCTGCTCACCAGCCTCTAGCTCATTTTTGCCTGGCTCTGAGCCCGCATCGCCACTGACAGGCCACAGAGGGCTGAGTCAGGCTTTAAGGCAGGGTCACTGATTCCCTCAGACCTCAGCATCTCCAGAACCCCGAAGTGATAGCTTCCGGTTGGACCCTGAAACCTCAGGAGTGGAATTCTGCCTTCACTCTCACCTCCCTCCTCCATGGAGACAGCTCCTTCTGGGAGAAGTCCAAGGCGATTCAGAAGCTGGCAGACTCTGCTCCCGCTTGTTCTCCCGTCACCACACTGACCCCATTACCCACAGAAGGCTGCTGCAGAGCCAGGCCAAGAAAGGCCTTGCCCGTCCTTCCCCTGCAGACACTGCTGCCACGAGCCCCTGCACAACCCACGAGGCCAGTCCCCCACTCCCTGCTACTCTTTGATGCCCTGGCTCCGGCAGCTGGCCTTGATGGAGAAGAGCCCCTTGCTGTCTGCAGCGTCTTCCCGCTGGGCCTGTCCCTCACAGTTCTTAAGCATGGCCTGCTTCCCTCCAATCTGCCTCAACTAGTGTCTTTTGGGAGGCTGGACCCACAGACCCTCAAGTCATTCCTATTAAACTTGCCAAAAGTCAAAAGTCGTTCCTTTTTGCTATGACTGTGTCCCAGAAACATCTCTCTGCATGTGCCACCAACTGAGCGGGGAGGTGGCTGAGGCTTACGCCTGATGCTCAGAATCCTGCCGAGGACGTCAGTACCCCTGGTCTCCAATAATCCCGCTGGGGGCTCAGAGGACTTCCCTGGTTTGCTCAAGGCAGCAGATAGGAGGCCCAGCCTTGGCGCCCAGCACTTGGGAGCCAGCACGGCGGGGACTCCCACAGACACGCGCTGGGCTCTGGCCACAGGGAGAAGGAACGGCCCAGCTCTGCTAGCCAGCCACAGACGAGCGAGCTGTGGGTGGAGCACAGCTTCCGCCCACCAACGGTGCTGTCCTGTGGGAGGGCAACTGGGAAATGCGGGTCACGCTTCTTTTTAATATGTTTTGTTTTTTTTAGTAGTACATGTTTGCAGGACATTTGGGGAAACACCTTTTCCTGACTCCCAGAGAACTGACAAGCTGTGAAGAAAGCTTAGGGAAGAATGGCTTTCCAGGAGAAGCTACTTACTTTTGCTGGGCTTTTTCTTAAAACAATGTATTTGGTACAGGATCTCACTACGCAGTTCAGACACTTAGTGATCCTCCTGGTTCAGCCTCCCCAGGGCTGGGATTACAGGTGGGTGCCACCACACTGGGTCTTAGTGGCCTGCACATGGCGTCTGGGGGTGGGACTGGCATGGCATGTGATGCTAGGGATTGAACCCTGGTCCCTGAACTTGCCAGGCAGGTGCTTAGACTGCTGAGCTATCTCCCCAGCCCTGGGCTGTCTTGGGTTTTGCTAATGACACCTCCTTAAAATACTCTGTTAAATCTTTCCCCTTATGCAGGATTTGTCAATCTTTTTATGAAAAAGCCACCATTACACCACCAAAAATTCACCCAATAAAGTGGACCTGACCTTACAGAACTCTTTCTTGTGCAAAATAAGTGGCCACTGCTTTCCCATTGAGATACAGGGCCCGGCTGAGCAAGCTTGCCCTCCTTCCTCATTCCTGTTAACCTAAAAATGCAGTATCAACGTCGTTTGGCATTGAGATGGGTGTATGGGCAGAAGCAGGAAGGACAGGCCTGGAGGGAGACAGTGCCGTGGGGGTGGGGCGAGGCTTAGCCTCCTGGAAACAGCACAGGTCAGGAGGGCCACAGAGGCCGAGAGAGTGAGCAGGGCGTGTGGTGTGGCACACTGGACCACTCCTTCTGCCCCAAGTCACGTTCATCTTTTCTTTAATGTTAAACACTCAGAGCCTACAACCTCTAAGTAACAAATCATTCTCCAATACCCACTTCTTTTGTATAACTTTAAAAATACCCTCTACAGGGAGCCTGGTGTAGCAGTCTACATTCAGGGCATAAATCTGCAAACAGTACTACTACCAAACCCAGGGGAAAGAGCTTGGAAAGCTGTCATAGCTGATGTTGGCAAGGAATTCAGGGCTCCTCTGGTGAAGACCAAAGGCTTCTGCTAAAAATGCCACTGATGGTAGAGAACTGACAGTGGGCAGCTTCCTCGGGGCTCACCCACTGGTGATGTTCCGGGGCTCAGACACAAATCCGTTAACTGCAGAGGGTTCTCACTTAAAGCACCTGGAGTGAGAATGCTGCTCTCCTCCCCAGGGCCTCGAGCTAGCCTGAGAGGCAATGCTGTAAGGCGGGGTGGCAGGGCTGCCTGGCAGAGCTGCCCTGCAGTGTGCGGGCTTCCTCCGTGGCTGGTCCAGCATGTGCACACCCCCCACACCAGCCAGGCAGAGGCAAAGCGGCACCTGTAGCTGGGGAAGCGTGGGCATGGAGCTTCTGCCTCAGCAGTGGATAAGGGGACCCGGTCACCTGGAGGTGGCAACCACTCTTCTGGTGGGGATGGACACCGAAGACAAGCTAGCGGGCCAGGAAGCCCTGGGAGTGGCTACAGCTTCCCTGTGGGGCCACCCATGGCCAGGGCTGGTGCTGAAAATGTCCTTCAGGATCAGAACATCAGACGGGTGATACAGAAGGGCAGGGGACACCACTTGCCAGTCAATCCTGGATTGCAGCCTGAGAAAGGAGGACTAGAGAGACCTGACACCAGGCAAAGCTCAGTATGTTACCATCAAAGGAAAAGGCCTGAAGATTTGCT